GTCCAGACAAGGTCTGGAAAGGGCAGAGTGGGCACAGACCGACACCGGATGATCGTCTCAAGTTCTGAGCTCTCCCATAGTTGTTGTGTGGCTCAATTCAAAGCTTGGGGGCTCTTACTGCTACTTGGAAAGGAAAGGAAAGGAATGGAAATCTCATCAAGAATGGTGTTAACAGTTCTCCTCTGTGACGTTTTTCTGGCTCCCATCCCCTCTTCTGTTCCCTTGATCACTAGAGTTTAAGTCTGTGGAAGCAGGAGCAACAGCTCAGGGGTGGGGGTGGGGGGTTGGGTGGCTCAAAGGGACTTCTTAATTCACATAAGGGGATGTTCCTGGAACATAGATGTGGGTGATGGTTTTAAAACATAGTCCTTGTGATGGAGTTATCAATAGTATGACCCCCCATGCCCAAGATATGCTGCTGGACTTAAGATTTACAAGTACAAGTTTAGACATCTTGGCTGTAACTAAGGTTACAACTCCCTTCCTTCTGTAAGCCTAGTCTGGCTCACAGCTACACACTTCCCAAGCCCGAAGAAGCGGGGCTCACAAATGAGCACCCCCTGATAAAGAGAGCTGGTGAAAGAGTGTATATGAATGAATATACACCCAAACTCTTAGAGGGCCAAGAATGTGCCATATTCATCTATGCAGACCCAGCACATAACACAGTGCCTGGCAGACAGTAGGTGCTCAGAAATTTTTGGCTGATTTAAATTAAATTGAGTCCTTACTAGAAAAACAATGCAAAGTATGAACCCTATTGATGTTGGGCTTGGAGAATTCTCTTCATAAATAAAAAATTGCACATTACTTTGAAATGACAGCAAAGTGAAAAATGCAATGTATTTCTCACTGTTTTATTGGAACCCAGTTATCTTATTTAGTACAGAATCTGGCAGGGAAGCATTTTGGACAAGTTTCTATCATTATTGTTCTCACCAAGGATCACTGTTTATTGCCTGAATCAACCTGAAACCCAAATGTTTGAAGTTTGGGGGAACAGCTTCTGCTCACCATGGCAGCTCTGTATTGATATCATCCAAACTGTTTTCTACAACCCATCTGTGATCCTAAACTTCTGCTTGCTTCCCTGTTAGGAAGCTGAGGAGTCCCCATTTTCACCTGGAGAGGAGAGTAGGTAGGGAGAGGTATAGGCAGGGTAGAAAAGGATGAGACCCAGGTTCTCCTAGAAACTGTAGCAACTGGAGATAGAATTTATTGCAGATTAGACCATGGTCTCTACAAAAAGCCTGTTCTTTTTTCTTTCTGTCCCAGACCAAAGGGAAAAGGCATTATTCCAAGTCCTGCGGCCAGAGAGTGGCATTTTTCTCAAGCGCTAAACTCAAGCAAAATCCTTTGAAATGCTAAACTATTTGTAAATAATGATCCTAACACCATTTAGCAATGCACAGGATCGTTCACAAAGCAGCTGAAATGACTTTACAGTTAGTCTTTAGCTGTGGTAGGTTTTCCATAATCCTGGTCAGTTCAAGATGCCTGAACCCTATCTACAGCTGTTTGAGCAAAAGTATTAGATGCTGGAAAAAAAAAAATATTTCCAACCTCCTATGTCTTTTGTCTTCCACCTTAACTGCCTTTTAAATCTCCTTATAATTTCTGTTCTCATAAAACCCTTCCTGGACAACCTCATACCAAAGTTAGCAATGACAACAGTATAGGGAAATTCCATTTTTAGTTATGGGAAACTGTTAAGAATATAAAGACTAGAATATCAGACTTGGGCCACATCCTCCCTTATCTTATACATCTCTGTCTCCCCTTTAATCCTGCCTGCCAGAGGCCAGCTCTGGTATGGTCATTACTTGTTTCTCATCATCTGCTCTGGTCCTTCATCCTATAGCTCACTGCTTATCTCCTCTCTTCTGTCTCAGCATCCTTCAAGTGACTGCTGGGTAATCTGACCTCTCTGGCATGTCCTTGGGAGAAATTCTCAAAGAAATCCCCCATGGTAAAACTTCCAGCACTTCCAAATCCACCCCCAGGAGCCAGTCTCAGAGGACCAAATGTGTGACAGGAAATGACCACGTGTCAGGTCGAGAGACACTGGATGAACTCTTGTATAATCTAGAGACATCGTCCTTGGCCTGCCCTAGGCCTAGCGAGCCTCTACTTCCCCTCTGTGGTATTAGCTTTCTTTTTATACCAAATGAGGTACAATAACCTAGCAGATAGACTCAATGATAGTCACTGACAGGGCTAAAAAATTAGACCATCTTTTACGTTGTCCTTTTAAGCCATTGGGTACAGAAGTGGACATGGAATCCATAGTAACAGTCATTCCAAATTCTTATTCAGTTTGTTAGTTGAGTTTTACAGAGTTGGAGAACTGATCTAACCTCAACTACAATTTTAATGTCCTCCTTGTAAAAAGATTAGTCAATCTAAAACTCTTTCTAGACCTATCTACACTGTTGAGTTAACAATTAAAGAAGGAGAGTCTGTTTTTGTGGCCAGTGCTCTCACACTGCCAGTTCTCAGAGCATCTGGAAGCTCAAATCAATATTACCTGGATTGTAGTTAGGTAGCTTGGAAACTCCTGGCCAGGTATCCTCCGTAGGGACTCCCAGCACCTACAGAAAGACAAAGAAAGACAAAGAGAGATGAAGGGGAAATGAAGTGGATGGAGCAGGTACAGAGACATGAAGGACACATCAGGGAGGAACAGGGAAGAATTCCATGTATATCACATTATGCCAGCTGATGTGTACAGAAAGAAACATTAACGCTTCCAACATTTATAGTTTCATGGGTGAAACTGGAGTGTGTTCCTATGGTCCTGTGATGGTTAATTGTATGTGTCAACTTCACTGGGCTAAAGGATGCCCAGACAGCTGGTAAAACTTTATTTCTGGGTATGTCTGCAATGGTGTTTGTGGAAGAGATCAGTATTTGAATCAGTAGACCAAATAAAGAGACTGGCCCTTACCAATGTGGGCGGCATCATCTAATCGGTAGAGGACCTGAACAGAACAAAAGGGTGGAAGAAGGGCAAATTTTCTCTCTGTCTTCTTGAGCTGGGACATCCATCTTCTCTTGTCTTTGGATATGGGAGCTCCTAGTTCTCTGGCCAGATTCTGGGACATATACCAGCGGCCTCTCTCAGACTGAATTATACCACCAGCTTCCTTGGGTCTTCTAATACAGGAGATGTATATGGTTCTGTTTCTCTGGAGAATCGTGATTAATACAGATCCTAAGCCTGTGTCTTCACTAACTCACTTGTTATTCTTAGGCAGACCCTATAACCTTGCTTAAAATCAGATTCTTATCTCTAAACTTCTACAGGCATATCACGGAGATATTATGAGTTTGGTTCCAGAACACTGACATAAAGCAAATATTGCCATAAAGTGAGTCACACAAATTTTTTTGGTTTCCCAGTGCATATAAAAGTTATGTGTACACTATACTGTGGTCTATTAAGTGTGCAACAGACCAATGTACATACCTTAATTAAAAAAAAACAACAATGTACATGCCTTAATTTAAAAATGTTTCCTTGCTAAAAATAAAAAATGTTAACCATCATCTGACAACACAGAGTTGCCACAAACCTTCAATTTGTAAAAAAAAAAAAAAAAAAAAAAAAAAAAAAAGCAATATCTGCAAAGTGCAATAAAGTGAAGCACAGTAAAATGAGTACGCCTGTACTGTGTGATCACCATACACGAGGATGCTATGCTGAAAGTCAGGAATATAAAACGGCAGAACTCACAAAGGGTCCCTTTGCCTTACATCAGATGACTGTATTTATATATATACACACACACAGGAGACACTTGACAGTTTAAGTTATGCCTCAGCATGGGCATTCAGCTGTTCCCTGGTGTGCTCAAATTAAAAAGGACTCAGATTACTGACCTTTAGGAAATGGAATGTTGGCTAAAAATGATCCCAAATCTACCTCTAGTCTTTTCTACCAAATTCATCTCATCTGCTTGTTTTCTCTGCAGCTTAGCAGCTTGGACTACGGTATTTGGTTTTTACTGGATCATAATAATAACAACATTACTTGAAAAAGAGCTCACTTATGCTTTGGATCACCAAATTGAAGCTCTAGTTTTTAATTACTTTGAAAAGGAACGTGTTTTGGAGCATAGATTCAAAACACATCAGGTTTTGGATGGTGCTGTTACTCTCGTAGGCATAATCCCACCATCCTTCCAAGATAAAATTGCAAAAGCCCAGCATCAGTTATATCTGGGAATGAGAATAAGATTGTTTTGTGAAATATGAGTAAAACAGCAGTGGCTTTCATACACCGCTACAACATAGCTGTCTTCTAGAAGCGTACCCTCAGTATAAATCTTTTTAGAAGCATTTCTCACAGAAAGAGCCTAGTGAGTCCATTTGTAAAATGCCAAATACAGATGCTGGCCCAATTGTTATGGCAGCAAGTCACCTGCCCAACAATGACAGATAATAATCAATGAGGAATCCAGAAGGCTCTTAATATCTGCCAGCTTGCTGACTAGGATTCTGGCTCAGAATTATACTTTGTGGTGCCTACCAAGCTTGTCCTCGAACAAAAGACACTGAAGTGCCATTTTTCCTTGTATAGTAAAAAAAAAATTAAGCCACCCAGTAGAATCTTTCTTTGATCCCTTCCCTAAACAAACTGAAAAGCTACTGAGAGGATTACAGGCTTTTCCTATCAGCCACCCTGAGCCTGAGGGAACACTAAGAATTCTGGAATCCATTTTGAAAAACCCACTGGACTAGGTCTTCTTTTGTGGGAGAGGGCCAGAGGATGGGAAGCTAGCTCTTCTTTGTGAATCTACCATCTTATGTATTTGTACAGATGTGCATGTAAACATGTGGGTGGGATGATTCACACATACCCCTAAATCTTCCGTTGCCTGGCAAAGCACAATGAAAAGAAAGCAAAGATTGAAGAGAAAGCAAAAAAGGAAATAAATTACAACCACAACCATATTTTCTCTAAGGTGAAAGTTACCAGAATTGTTGGTTACTTTGCATTATGTGTAATTAAAGCCAACAAAATGGATAGCAAACTTTAAAAAATATTACACTAACAGCTTTAAGCTTGAGATTTTAAAAGTTTAAACAAAAATTCAATATCCTTTACTTGGAAATTTGATGCTCGTTTTCTATTTGAAAGTTATTGAATTCATTTTCACTTGAGAAAATTACTAAATCTCCACTTCAGTGACTGGGAAACTGAAAACCAAAAATTGTTATTTACTCCCTCCCTGTAGGCTCTTAAAAGCAGCTAGTGAGTGCTATGATTGAAACCACAGTGGGCTGCTGGGGCTGCTTTCTGCCTTTGTTGGAATGGAAACTGAAGGCATTTTGATTAATGGATTTAAAGTCTGCATAGTTTATTTTATTCTGATTTTAAGACCACATCCAGGATTATTTGCTAAAAATACTTACTGAAAGAATTAGATTTCTTAAAAATTGATCAAAAAAGTAATGACAGTTGTTCAGATGTAAACACACACACAGATGCATTTCAGAAAGATGGTAAAATAAAGATTCAGGATTTCTCAGCATGTCTCTATTCCTAAGAATGAGATCTCAGGATAAATGTAAAGAAAAGTTGTGGTTAGAGGTTGGGAGATGTAGTGCTTCCTATTGCTTTCAAAGAAGCAATTCCTACGTCAAATATCATAGAATCTGAAATATCTTTCCTTTTTTGTCTTTGTAGACCACATTTATTAAAACACAAATTCAGGAGCCATTTGTAATGTCTGAATTTCCAAGTTGCTTGGGGTGTAGCAGTATAAAAGACAATGTACTGCTGAATTCGGTGACTTTCTTTGTCCTCAGAGTATGGAACTACAGATGCGATAACAAACTGTGGTCTCTAACTACTTGCACAGAACCAGGGGGAAAATGAGCTGTAATGAATCTGACCTCTAGGTGCCCATAAAGGATAGCTAAGCAATGTGGAACTATCTCCTGATCAGTACAGATTGAAAGTCAACAATGAGCTACACAAGTCGATAAACTTGAGAAATAACTGCAGGGGTGAGGGGGAACAATAAACAGAGGAGAGTATTATAATTAAAAATAATAGGAGCTACAATACTCTCTTTACACTTTGTTCAAAGAAGTCATAAGTTCATGAAGTCAGAAAACCAAATACACTTGAAGACACTGGAGACCCAGGGAAGTAGGTTATGAGACTTGCTTTACCTCTTAACCTGAAGTTAGAGCTGGGTTCAGACTCCTGACTCCAAGCCAGTGTCATTTCTAATATATTTACTTGTTTTAAATTTGTAATGAGTTATCATAAATATCAAAATAAAGTCTTTCTGATTTATTGCAGTGTGGTAAGAATAATGGTGGACATGAACATGGCTTCCTGGGCAGGACTTGTTGGACTGATTTGTTAAGACATGTTTGTTTTGGCTGCTTCACTCATGTTTTGATATTTTATGTCTAGACACAAGTCCAAAATTTTCACTTACTGAATTTACCTAAAACATCCCTCAGATGGCCAGTGTCAGTCACCAAGTCCAGTCCCGGAAACTTGAGCCAACAGCTAGGGAGCCATCAGGTCCTGGGAAACGTTCTATTATTTCTGTTCTATGATTTCTAAGTGCTGTACTAAATGCAAAGAACTGTAAAATGATTTAAGGACATGATCATGTAAAAAAATCAGTTTATATATAACTTTTCAAATATCCTAATAGCATACCTTATCTCAATATTACAACTTTTTATTAACTATCTCCATATACATACATCATTTTATATCTCAATGGAGTTCATGTTTGTTTTACATGTATTTACTTATATTTCACCCATCACCCCACCTAGACTGAACAACACCTGAAAGCACAAATCAGGGGAGGCTATAGCTCAAGTGGTAAAGCGCAAGTTTAGCATACACAAGATCCTGGGTTCAATCCCCAGTACCTCCTCTAAAAATAAATAAATAAGTAAACCTAATTACATCCCCCTCAAAACTAAAAAATGAAAAAAGCACAGATCATGCATTTTTCCTATTCTTCCCCTTTTTCCATGCCTTGTAATGTCTTATAAGACCTTGTAGTTTATTTTATATGGTGGGTGTCCAATAAGTATTGTTAAAGTGTTAAATGACTAGAACAAACTTTTCAAACGTGTAAAAGAACCCTGCAGGGTCAGGACTAGGCAGCGCTAATTGTGCTTCCTCTGTCGTGGACAAGAAGTAATACTAAGTGGGGGCACAGAACAATTAGGTTAAATATTAGGGAATGCCTGTTAACAGCTGGGTCATTGAAACGTCTCTACGGTGACAATTTCCATGAGAGAGAAAGGCAGCAAACATTTATCAAGCACGTATGGCACACGGAGCTTGTTATGCATTTGATCTTATGAAATTCTCACAGCAAGGTTAGAAAAGTCATTGTCGCCAACCCCAGTTAACAAACGAGGAAACTGAAGCTCAGAGGGTCTATATAACTTGTACACATTCATTTAACTAAAAAGTGGCTAGAATTCAAATCCTGATCTTACGACTCTAAAGCCATCAATTACATTAGGCCGCCTCCAGTTTAGAAGATGTTACAGCACCCAGTGATGCTTTTTGAAGGTAGCGTTTATCTGTTTTGCAGGGGAGTTTTGAGAAAAAAATCTTTTGTCTTGACAAATGTTTTTTTAGTTTGTGAATGCTTCCCAGTTTTCCCTATGTTCCCCCATGATATTCACCATGTTTCCAAAGCTTAATGGCATTGATTAATCTCTATAAAATGTCTAAATTTCACAAAGCACATTTTATTTTACTTTGACATTTACAAAACAGAGTGTTTTCTGGGTCATGAATCTGTAGCACTAGACTGGTTTGCACAGAATATCTTCATAAAGGTGAGCCAATGACCCTCTATACTAGCAACTAACTCTCTCCTTTTCCTAAATGTTCCCTAAGGATTTTCTGCACCTTCATGTGTATATTAAAGATAAACTTGACTTTTTTTTTAAGTAAATGAAGGACTCCACAGTGGAAATACAATTCAAAAATAAAAATTTTATATCATTCCCAGAAAGGCAAAACGGTTGGGGTCACTAAATCAAAATCATAAAAGAGTTCAAGAAAAGACAAATCTTCTCAGTTCCACACAAAACCCCACTCTGCAGTATTTCCCTATGAAATGTTTCTGCAAGATACCTGATTGGGAGGCTGTTAGCAAGAATGCCTGCTTGAAGCAAGCAAACTTGAAAGGGAGCAGAACCCAGGATACACATGATACCCGCCTCCCCCAGTTTAAAGCACTATGACACGTGCTATACAATATGGACAGGATCTAAGTGAAATAAGTCAGATACGAAGGACAAATACTGTATGATTCCACTTATGTGAGAACCTAGAATAGGCAAATTCATAGAGACAGAAGGTAGATGAGAGGTTACTAGGGGCTGGGGGAAGGGAAGATGGGGAGCAGGTTGAATGGATTCAGAGTTTCTGTTTGGGATGATGAAAAAGCTTTGGAAATGGATGGAGGTGATGGTTGCACAGCAATGAGAATGTATTTAATGCTATGAACTGTACTAAAAATGGTTAGAATGGTAAATTTAATGCTATATATGCTTAACCACAATTTAAAAATCATCACAAAGAGAGAGTAATATGTAAATGACTATAATACATGGCATATAAGCTATGAGGGGCATAAACACGAAATACATAACGGCACAAATGAGAGAGGGATTAGTAATGAGTGAAGAAATGAACCACACACACACAAAAGCGCCTTGTCACCTTAGGAATTCGGTCTGGGGGGAGCATGATAAATAGTGTATTTCTCTCACGCTAACATGGAAAGCCATTTGTTTTACCAGAGTTCTATGAAAATTTAGTGTCTTGTCTTTGGTTGACAAAGATCCAGGGCCAAATACACGGTAGAATTAGAGCTGGGGGTGGCAAGGCAGGGACATATTTACGTAGTAATGGCAGAAACCGCCCTAAGACAGTAAAACCAGGGAGCAGGTGGGTTTGTGGGCTGCCACGGGACAATGGGGGTTTCCTGACCACTCATTCCCGAGGTGCTTATGCCCCTGGCAAATATCACAGTTTCCACAACCTTAGTATATGGCTTAATCCTTCAAAGCAGATGGACTGCTTCGCTCGTCTCTAAGGCAAATTTGGTTCAAAGTTTGAAATACTATATTTTTTCTTCCTAAGAGGAATTCTTCTCTTACCTCCCAGATCTTCTCCAGCTGTTCAAGGATGTTGGAAACTCCAGGAAACAAGGGCTGACCCTGGAACATTTCAATAAAGATGCAGCCTGCACCCCTAACAAAGGAAATAAGCGTCAAACCGATATTTTCAAGGAAACCATAATGCAAAACTGAACTACTAACATTTCTCCTCCCAAGAAATATTTTAAGGACAATTAAATAGGGGCCACATACTATGAAAAGTCTTGGGCAAAAAAAAAGTCCCTATATTAAATAAATATAAGAAGAATCTGCCACTTTTTGTTAAAATGGAATGCAACCAGCATTTAGGAACACAGCAATAGATAGCAAACATTTTAGCTCATTCAAGCTCGTTAACAGTACCTTTTATGAGAAGAGGGGGATGTATGGAACCTCCAAACTGAACACCCTCTTTCACTGACTCTAAGATGCTATCATTGTAAGAAGCATCATTATTGTATGTATTTTTAAGAAACAACAAAAAAAGTTAAACTATGTCATGATCAGAATGTTTCTCTTACACTTATTGAAAGGGCTGTTACAAATTTAATCAGACATTATTTCATTATATTTCATTATATATCCATGTTAAAAAATGGAACATTAAATGAAAGAAATTGGTTTAGGTAAAACTTTTTCACATTCAGCATTTGACTCAGACTCTTTGATGTCTGTGTTTATCCATGGTATCACGCTTTGATGGTATCATCCAGGAGTCGGATGATGCAGTATTTCTTAAAATAATCCATAAAAGAACTAAGAGTCATTGGTGCTGGGTTCCTATGCTGACCTTGCAATTACATAATTAGCCTACTTTTCACTCCAGCTTAAAGAATGTTGCTGAACACATCTGATTCACTCCCTTTCCACAATCATTTAGTTCCTAGGGGTTAAAAAAGAAGAAGGAGGCAAAAAAAGCTCTCCTGTCTTCCAAGTCACTGACATCCATCCTGCAATTTTTGATGCTGGCATGTTTGATGTTCACACATGTACAATGGTAACTACAGTCACCACGGCAGCATGGCTGACGGCTATGGTAAGATGCTACTGATTGTAAGACGCATCCTGATTAATAGATGTGCATCTTAAAATAGATTCAACAAAGTGAAATATAAAACTTGTTTCCTACTTAGTCAAACTGGAGGATAACTGGAACAGTAAGGAGTAAGATTTATTTTGCTAGTAATGCACATTCTTACTCTTACAAATCTTTGAGTGATAAAAATGGTTGAGGTGACTGATTACAAATTTGGTCCCCAAGGTCTAATACTTCCCAATATTTTGACTCCACACCTCTTTCACCATAACGCATAATTTTGCAAACTCTCTTAATCATCTAGACATTTTTGTGTGGCATGATAAAGAAGGAAATTTAAGTAAAACATTTTATTACAGATCATCGTATCATTAAAGATTTACGATAAAGTTCTGTTTTAAAGTGGTCCCTAATATGGTTGTATATATTTTTTACATATGATAAATTTTTATTTTTCCACCTGTCTGTGGACACATGCTACTTAATTTACTTTGTACAGGAGAAAGCAGGTTTTTTGATAAACAAGTCTAAGAATAATTTTTATCTTGTGTCTGGTTTTAGAAAGACTGAAATTTAACTGTATCTTATCATCTCAAAAGAGGCAAAAACTATTTTAATGACCTAATATTTAGTTTGCATATAAAATAATCAACTGGCTTATTCTTAGACTTTTGTACATATACAAGTAAGAGATATCAGACTGAGTTTGTCCAGCAGTTTTTTTTTCCCCCTCAAACAACAGGTTGTCTTTATCCTCAATTGTTAAAAGGTGAATTTGGATATAATGGCCACCATATTTTCTTTTTACTGATTTTTCACATACAAGAGACATCCTGATATATAACTTGATATATAATAGATAAATACAACTTAAAAATCTGGTGAATAGTATCTTGAGGTGAATTTTTAGAATTAAAATGGCCATTTTAAGGCTCCTTATTAGCTTGGAATTTAAATATCCATGTTCTTTTTGCTTCTTGTCTTTAAAGCAACAGATACAAAAGGTATAAATTAAACAATACATGGAGAATAATAAAAGTAATAGAAAACTGTCAAATGGTTAAAAAAAAATCCTGGTTGCTCTACCAGGTACAAAATAAACTGCAAGGATGTATTGTACAACATGGGGAATATAGCCAATATTTTATAATAACTATAAATGGACTATAACCTTTAAAATTGTGAATCATTATATTGTATACCTGTAATATACAATGTTGTACATTAACTGTACTTCAATTTAAAAAATATGATATTGTAAAATAAATACATAAGTAAATAAAGTAAAAAACAAAACCAAAAAACCTCCTGGTTGCTAGTAGTGGTCAACCATGAGATAAGCCAGCTGAAAAAAAATTGGGGTGGTGATACCATCAGATGGTCTCCACCCACCGCCCCTCCCACTTTCTCCATATGTACTTGAAAGGTCTCAAATCATTTCATTTTGAAGTAAAAAATATATATATATACACACACATACACATGTATACTTATGTATCTGTGCATATAAAACATATGTAATTGTTATTAACTGACACAAAATAGAAATGTAAATGTACTGGATTTGAATACTTGCACCAACCATCCATCCAGTACCGACACCTTCCAGAAACCCAAGGGGCTCACAAGTCACTAGAAGGCCCGAAGGCATTTTAAATAAGGTTCAAACCGTAGACATTGCTAGGTTTAAACCTGTAGTCCATTTTTTCCCCTCCCCTCAAAAGGCTTTTATTGCTTAGAAAAAGCTTGTTGCCTTTTCATGTCATTTTACCCTGGTTGCTGTGGGGAACCAAGAAAGAAGTCCTTTTTGTTAAACAATTTCTTAATGCCCTTTATCTTCTACACCACTAGGACAGTGTACAATTATGTAAAATATGCTGGAGAAACCTGGACATTAAGGCCATTATGTAAGTACAACAAAGTTACACCAGATGCTTGTATTAAAGAATAAAATGCTAATATTTGGTTGAAATTCCCACTTGCATTTGTGTAGTTGGCGCCATATAGGCATTCTTTTGAGTCTTTCTTTTTAAGCTTCACTGAGGGGCAGGTTAAAACCTTCCTTACCTAGCAATCTTAGAGTCTAAGGTTTAATATACACATACACAGTATACACACACACACTACACACACACACACACAATATATATACACATATACAAACTATACACAAACTATATAGATGGTGCGTGAGTGTGCGCCATGTGCATGCACACATGTGCATATATGCAGTGCACTTAGGAACACTTACAAGACAAGCAAAATTCCTAAATCAATTCCGTCTCAGGACCTGGACTACCCATAAGTATCAAAAATATCAGTGTATTAGTAAGAAAATAAGTCTGTGCACCTTAAATTTGAAAGAGGAAAGAGGTTTTTAGGCATAAGCATTGTTCTTTAAAGGCTATACAATTCATCTCCCTTTTATTTTCATTTATTCTTTAGAACTGTTTTTTCTTTGTAAACAAGTCATGTGACTTCATATTTTTTTACTTGCTTCTTAAACAAGCTGTGTGGCTATCATCTATTTTGCCCAGCCCAGACTAGCCTTAAAGCAAACATTTAAAATATTCCGAACCATTCAGGTCCAGATAGGGAACCAGCTCCTGTTTCCTTTTATTCCTCTGTTTTGTTCTTAAATCTTCATTCCTGTGGCTCTTCTCACCCTACACATCTTTAGGCTTCTCAGAGGATTTCGGCTCTGTTGGAGATACCCTTGGGGCAGCCCATGTAGATGAAGGGGAACTTCACACACAGGGGGAAAAAAGACCTGGTGACATCAAACAGTAAATCCTCCCAGAAGGGAGAGATACACTGGGTCATATTATTGCTCCAACTGTGGTTCTTCAGTCAAGTTAGAGGAAACAGCTTACATGTTTTCTGCTTTTTCTGGCTCTCTTCCTAGCCTTTTCTCTATTCTGAGCATGAACAAATTCTTCCATAAGAGAGAAAAAGATTCCTCAAATTCCTTAGGCAATTTCTGGAGAAATAAACCATCTCAGGAGTTTTAGGTTTTGGGAGGTGCAAGGAGTATATAAGAACGTTGCTGGGAGAAGGAGAAAATACTGTGAATCACTATTTTATTTTTCACTATTAAAGTTAATTCAGAACAACATGATGTATGGCGGTGACATGATAGTTCCATTTGCTTTTCCCTGGGCCACTCTTTATATTTGGAAGTTTACAGCAAGAAATCGAAATCTGACCAGAAAGAATCTCTCGGGTACTGACCAACTCTCCGTAGTCCTAAATCCAGCAGCTGCCTGCAGTTAGTTTTGAAAAGAGAATTTGTCTACTAAAGTAAATCCTTCTTCAAAACCCAGTTTATCACAGCATGAATAACCTTGAAAACATTATATTAAGGGAAATAAGACAGACACAGAGGATAAATATCATATGATTCCACTTACATGAGGTACTAGAGTAGCCAAATTCAAAGAGACAGAAAATAGAAGAGTGATTACCAGGGGCTGAGGGGAGGGAGTAATAGGGAGTGACTGATGGGCACAGAGATTCATTGTGGGACGATGAAAAGTTCTGGAGATGGATAGTGGTGATGGTTGCACAACACTGTGAGTGTACTTGATGCCACTGAATTGTACCTTTGAAAATCGTTAAAATGGTAACTTGTATGTTATGTTTTGTATATTTTAACATAATACAAAAAAGTAAAAACAAAAAATAAGTGTAATCGTCCTAAAACACTGAGTTTTTCTTATTGAAGTTCTGAAAAAGTAGCAGAAAGAGAAGAAAAGACGATGGGAGATTAGAGAACGCTGGTTGTCAGTGCTGGGAATAACCAATATGTCTTGTATATTTTCCATAATCTAACTATTTGCTCTAGGCCTCCCACTGGCACTGCTGCTACCAGGGTTTATTGTGAATGAGAGGCTCTTGCACTACATGTTATAATTAGTTTCATTAAGACAAAGGCTCTAGGGGGAATAGCTCAAGTGGTAGAGTGCATGCTTAGCATGCATGAGGTCCTGGGTTCAATCCCTGGTACCTCCATTAAACAAATAAATAGAAAACGTAATTACCTCCCCACACACACACAA